ATATATATGGGAATATAAAATGAGTTTTGTAGTGAGTTTGTAATATAAGTCAATATGACTGACTGAAATTATTATTATTATTAATACATATATATCAAATAATTGGAATACATTAAGATCTTCCCATTAAATTAATTTACATAAATGTAGTTGAACTGGAACTTCTATCCTGAAACCTGTTTAAGTTGTTCAGCTTTAAATTAAACAGCAGTTGTTTCAAGAAGGATCGTCAACTCAAGTCCAACAATCAATGGCTTTAATTAAAAAGCATTTGTGCTTTAGGTCAAACACTCAGTGTGAGACTGATGAGACGGATCTAGACCCATTATATCTAGAAAAAAAGAGAACAATATTCATTTTCAACAGTGTTTGAGTGAAGTACAAATTAGTCAAGCAATGCATATTTAATTCCTGAATAGTTTGATTTCTCCATGTAACAGCAGAAACACTGTTTTATACACCATCTTTAGGTTTTTTTTCTTCTGAGGTCATTTTAGAAATGTATGGGGACATAATAATAATGTTGATTATTGCGATAAATCAACTATAATCTGACCTGAAGCTTCTGAGAATCAAATAACCGCATTAATTACAGTATCAAAGTAAATATTTGTTTTCTTTATCTAGTGCATGGTTGGAATCCTTTGACGTTCCAGGAATTTCCTCCACATTTTCCTGCAGGAATGCAGAGCAGAAAAGACGGAATGGAAAAGTTGAAGGTTCACTGTTTTTATGTCACGTGCTCGACGAGTGTTGTGTGTTTTTCTCAGTAAGTCTCTTTGTGCAGGAAACAATAATCAGACAACAGATGCGCCGATAGATAAACAGTACAGCTGTTGTGATCATGACTGGCTTCAAATGAAATGAGAGATACATGCATCTGTGTTTTGCATTTACATTTGTCTATAAAACCTGGTCTTATATCTGGCAAATTATTAATAATCTGATTCTGAAAGTCACGTTATTTTCACACACAGCAGTTGCCAATTCAGAAATCTGTGCTGTATATTTCTAACTTTGTGTCGATGTACTTAATCTGCATATTTCTCTCCTGATTCACACCAGAACACTTTTTCACTGGAGGAAGCGTTATTATGGATTATAGACTTGTATTTGAGTTAAAAACGTCTTAATGATGGATTTGTTTCAGTTTTTGTCTTCTCCAGATGTTAACTGATGGACTGGAGTGCTGTGGATTACTTGTGGATTATTGTGATGTTTTTATCAGCTCTCATTCTGACGGCACCCATTCACTGCTGAGCATCCATTGCTGAGACACTGATGCAGTGCTTTAATTTTTGGGTGAACAATTCCTTTAAGGTTCCTGGTCTTATTGTGAATGCTTCATCAATGCATGCCATTCAAAAACTGTCTTTGTAATCTCTCAACAGAATGCAATCACTTTCTCAGATGATGGGAAGAAACTGTTGTATATCTCCATCTTACTGAGCAAACAAACCAATCAAATTGTGCTTCCATGAATTTTACTCAAGTTTTAAAGTCATATCTCAGTAATCTCAAACAAGCAAAGCATTTCAGTTACAATCATAACTAAAGGACGAACTTGAGTGTGAAAATCTAGTCAGTGATCAGTTTATAAACCAAAAAAATCCTTTATATTTTCACAAATTATAATTTACGTTATTTTTATTTTATTGTGTGTATTGGTAATAGTGTTGGTAATACAATCATAAAATTGGGTTTTAAACGGAAATAACGAGACAAATGCTACTGTTTCCACTGTATACTTACATTTAAGTTTAAGTGTCTCATAAACCACAACAACAAAAGCAGACAAGCACGCAGCCGGGGTTTATTTCCCGGGATTATGACGTCACCGGCAAGCCCCGCCCCCGACTCGCTTTCGCACTCTGCACGTACGGCAGTTAAACACGTTGAGTTCCAGTGTTGCCAGGTCCGCGGTTTTCCCGCGGAACTGGGATACTTTAACACTGTTTCTGCGGGTTGTTTTTCATGTCCGCGGGTTGAAGCGACCCTAATAACGTGAATGCGAATTTTACCAGGGGAACCCCGCCAAAAAATCGTGCATTTTACCCGTCGGAACGCGATTTGTACCGGTGAAATCCTCCTCCCTCCAGGAGCAATTGGGCGGGTTTTGTTGTGAAAACCTGGCAACCCTGGTAATAACTGCCCGCCGTGGGCACAGCAGCCGTCAGCGCGCGGTTTACGAGGAGAACGTCGCGTCAGAGCTTCACTTTTCCGCGCCGACGGCGATTTAAACCCCTTCGCAAAAAGTTTCGTTGACGCGCGCGTGACGTCAGATGTAACGGGCGACGCTTCCCGTTCGCTGTCAGTGTGCGTGTGTTTGATTGTTTGTCCTTAATCGTTAAACTCGGAGGGAAGTGTAGGTAGGCATGGGGGCCAAACAGAGCAGTCCCGCTGCCGACGGGCGCACGCGAGCGTACTCGGGCTCGGATCTCCCGTCGAGTAACGGCGGCGGCGGCGGCAGGACGGCGGCTGTGGCGATGCGGTATCACGCACACGGCGCCTCAGGTGCTACATCTTCATCGTCGCCTTCGTCGTCAGCGGCGGCCGCCGCGCACTTTACCGGCTCCAGGCGACCACAGTCGAGCATTACTATACCGAACTCGGGAGCGTACAGTTCTCAGGAGTCCGGTAACAGCACACCGGAGGAGAACGGCGGGGAGAGAGAGCGGTCCGCCGGCGCTCCGAGACTGTTGATCGGATCGTTGCCAGCTCACCTGTCGCCTCATCTCTTCGGAGGTAAGAGTTTGATTAGTTACAGGTTCTAGTCCACCCGAGCAACAACCAGTTTCAGTGTTAAACCAGATCTGTTCCCGCCTGTTATGATAAACTGACCCATGCGCAATGTACTGTCATTGGTAGTTGATATGTGTGAACTACCCATATAAATATGCAAGAAAGCCTGTTATATCATGGCCTTGAAATTTCACATCAACACTTTTATGTTAATATCAATGCAAATGTTTATGTAAATGTGTGTATATATACGTGTGTGTATATATATATATATATATATATATATAAGTTTGAGAGGTTAAAGGGGTTACGTGTCAAGCTCACACTTGTTGTTTGTCAACTACTCATCTTATGAGAGTTAATGGATCAACCCTTGTGAAGTTTGAACCTTCAGTGTTTTAGTTTAGAGGAAAACTTGACTATTAGTTTTCTAGTTACAGGTTCTAGTCCACCTGAGCAACTACCAATTTCAGTGTCTTTAACCAGCTGGTTAAACCAGATCTATACCCACCTGTTATGATAAACTGATTCATACAGTGTAATTGGTTGTTGATATGATATATTTAACCTGTGTTAATTCTTGAGTAATTATATGGGTAGTTGACGCATATCATGCCCATAAAGTTTCATATCAACATTTTTATATTAATATCAATGCAAATGTGTATATGGACGTTTGAGAGGTTAAGTAGGTTGAATGTCAATCTCATGTTTATGTTTGTTATTTGTAAACTACCCATTTATGTCATGTTCAAGGTCTCAATGGTAATAGTTAAAGAATCAACGCTTGTGGAGTTTGAATTTTCAACCTTTTAATTTAGAGTGGAAAGTGACTAAACGTTTTCTAGTTACAGGTTCTAGTTAGTCCACCTGAGTATCAACCAACAACCAATTTCAGTGTCATTAACCAGCTGGTTAAACCAGATCGATAGGCTACCTACCTACCTATTCTGATAAACTGACCTGTACACAGGTTGTTGTTTTTGATTTTCTTATCCAGTTTTAACACTTGTGTATTTATATGGGTAGTTGACGCATATCATGCCCATGAAGTTTCACATCAACATTTTATATTAATATCAATGCAAATATATAAGTGAATGTGTATATATAGGTTTGAGAGAGGTGTTAAGGTTAAGTGTCAAACTCTTGTTTGTTATTTGTCAACTACCCATATGTCATGATATGGGCTGATAGTTAATGGATCAATGCTTATGGAGTTTGAACCTACCAGCCCAGATCTTTAGCCACTAGATCACACCACCACCTATTAGGTTAAACCGACCAAACTAGTGGTTTGTTTTTACCCATGTTTTGGTTTATTACAGTTGAAGCAATCTGGTGACCTTCAACCTTTTAGTTACCATCCCAGTGTCCGGTTGCATAATAAATAATCAAGGTAGACTAAATCTAATTTTTTTCTTTAAAACTGGTCTTAACATTCAGTTACATAAACATGTAGATTGGCCTTATTTGAATCCGAAAAGTAAAGATCACACCTTGACTAACTGCTAGTTGGTCAGACTAGTTCCTAAAGCATAGTGGCTGGGTTTATGCAACTGGTCACAGATTTTTAACCACTAGGTCACATCACCGCTTATTAGGCTAAACCGACCGAATTAGAGGTTTGTTTCCAGCAGTGGAGAAAGAACGTGTTTTGGTTTATTATGGGTTGAAGTGATCTGGTGGGTTTGTAGAAGGATGTGATGAACCCTGGAAGATCTTTTCTAAACTGGTGCAGTTTTGTGCAGGTCGTTTTTTTACAAATGCATGTGAACATGCTGGTGCAGCAGTGGTGAGAGACTGCATTGTGTTCTGAGGAACCAACAGGTTGCGGTTTGGGAGTTCTCTGATCAGGTGTAGAGATGCATGTGAGAGAGGATTATTTCCGAGTAGTTCAGTCACCATGTGGGTCTTTTTGTTGTTGTTTTTCTGAGAACCTGCTCCGTAATCTGATGTTTCATAAACACGGGTGTCATGTGGTTTAACTGACTGAATCTCAGGAAACCTGTCAAGAACAGGTTCTGGTCACATTTCACCTCAAAACCAGAAGAGAGAAAGAAGAAATAAGAAAATGATGTCTATTTTTAGGATCATTGCATTTTCCTTTGCATTGTGCACATTTGACATACCATTCTCATTACTGTCGAGCAAAGTTGTTAATTATTTGTTGTACTGCTTTAAAGGAATAGTTCTCCCAAAATGTACATTTGCTGAAAATGTATGCATCCTCAGGCCATGCAATATATATATATGGGTTTGTTTCTTCATCAGATTTGGAGAAATGTAGCATTGCATCACTTGCTCAGCAATGGATCCTCTGCAGTGAATGGGTGCCGTCAGAATAAGCATCCATGGGATTACACAGATGCCAGTTGCATTACATTTTTATTCATGCAATTGGCAGATGCTTTGCATTTATGCATTCCTACAATTCATGCATTCATACAGTTTGATCAGTTCATGCATTACCTGGCAATCAAACCCATGACCTTGGCGTTGCATGCGGCATGCTCTACTGTTTGAGCTGCAGGAAGGCTATAGCCAAAAGTAAATAATTGTCTGAAATATTCAAAGGCAGGTGAAGCTGTCCGTTTCTGAGACGGAATTTCCCCAGCCGTTGTGGCCTGGATTGAACTTTAATTCTGTAACAGGCTCTCGCTGGTGATTTGAAGTTAATCTTTAAACGCTGTTGAAATGGCTAAGTATGACTTTTAACCGACTGTGGATGAGATCAAGAAGGGAGTTTTTAAAGGGAAATGAGATTTAAGTTCACTTTCAATTATCGAAACGCACAGGGGAATCCTGCCTTTAACAGACTCTCTGTATGAGCAGTTTGCATCAAACCTGGAGGCAAAATCATGCAAAATTTAGCATGGTCATAATAGGCATTTATCAGTAGTGTTTGCTAAGGCGGTTATCACTAGTACTAGTGCTCTGAGAAATGTAATGAAACCTCTAAAACTAAGTATTAAAGTTCAGTGTGCTTCATCTCTTCAGATCATGTCTACACCACTATTTGAACATCATCTTTTAATTGCTGTGACTTTACAGGGTGAAAAGAATATTTTAAAATGAAACTGTATAGAAATACCAGTGTAGTTCTGCATGTGTCAGTGTTGATCAATGTGAAATTGACATTGAAAGAGATCTTGCTGTTGTGACACAAGAATGGAAACACTCTTAATGAGTCGATATTAGAGAGGAGTATCAGTTGTAGTGAATGCATTTCATTTCTAAAGATTTTAATCATGTGCATGCACAGCTAGTAAACACAAATGAAAACTGAATTTGCAATTCAGTGTGATTGTGGTGCAGTCTTGATTTAGTTCCTCTTGATTAGTTTCACATTGCACATGCATGTTCATTTGTTCTCAGTGAATTCTGCAGAGACGTTATGTGACCGTCTGTCTGCAACACGGGTCCAGGAAAGTGTGGCTTACTTATGTACTGTAAACTTGCACAGTGCCAGTTGTATTTTCAGGAATAATGTTGAATTACTGGATTAAAATACTTGACATATGGACCGAGAGATTATGAGGTTAAGGAGTTGACCATTTCTGTAAGTTGCATTGCAGTAAAATTTTCAACTGTATGTATGGGAGAATTTGCAATGCATTCAGTGGTGACTGTGGGACCCTAAATTAATGTCTGTAATTTCTGTTTAATTTTAATAGCTGAATGTGCATGAGCAAAAATAAATAAATATAAACAATAAAAATATAAAACAATATAAAATATTAAAATATATATAAAACAAATGAATAAACTCTCTCTCTCTCTCTCTCTATATATATATATGTATATATGTGTATGTGTATATATATATATATATATATATGTGTGTGTGTGTGTTGTCAATAGACCCGGTACTTCGGTACCAAGTCGGTACTAGAAAAATTAAAACGTTACGGTACCAGGATTTTTTAAGTACCGGTGGTACCGAGTACCCGGTCAACCCGGTTCTTGATGCGCTATCCGAAAGGTGCGCAGATGCGCTCTCTTCATAAAAGCACTGAGACGATATATATATATATATATATATATTACAATTATAAAACCATATAATATATATAATAAATTAATAGTATATTTATATTTTTTGTAAATATCTCTATATATCGATATAAATAAAAATATAAAACTCTCTCTCTCTCTCTATCTATCTATCTATCTATCTATCTATCTATATATATATGTCAACCGTGTGTCAACCGTGCACAGATGAATTAAGTACAATAAGTGCAGAAACTTTTATTAAGACTATTAAATAAGGTTAGTTTTAACTTTGTTGTCTTAATGATCTCTTCATGTTATACAAATCTGTTGACAGAAATATAGAACAGTCCCTAACCACAAACCACCAATGAAAGCAGATCCAGCAGCTCGGTTCAGCATCGCTGTGCTTTCAGAAACACGTCCTCTCGGTCATGCATGAGCTCAGGCCGCCGGACCCGTGATCCATGTTCATACTGTCCACAGTTAGTAAAACACACACATAAACGCGGAGAGCGAGCCGAGCCGTGTGTACATTAAACACAGCGCTTTCCTCCAGCTTCACTCTCGCGTTAAATGAAAGCCAGGAAGTGTTTGTTGTGGCTAGCCTTTGCTCTCTGCATTTCTCTGACTTGACTTTGACTCAACAGGCTTTGTGTGGCTCCCTTTACCGGAACGGCTTCGCCCACAAGCTGGTGAATGATTGCTGCTGTTGTGTTTTTGAGGGTGGCAGCACATGCTGGCATATTTACAGCATCTGAGATCTGTTAGGGCTTCCACGACTACTCATTTTACTAGCTGACTAATCGTCGATCAGTATTTACTTAATGCAAATGACTCGCTATGCACTGCACAGCATCAGCGTTCTCGTCCAGATCTGTTCTGATGGACAGTGTGAGACTCCACACGACGGAGACGTGGTTAAAGCGTGCATGTCTCCATTGCATGGTCTTGTTTCTGAACTTCATCTGAATTCAGACCATCGCAGATGTCCAAAGCACCAGCGCATTCACTTATGACATGCTGTTTGAATGCAGCTTTGTGTAAGTTAATGTCGTTATTATTGCATGAGTGGATATAGATA